TTCTTTTTTTGTGATTTAAAATAAGTCAGCCTCTCGTCTAGTACTTCCCAAAGGCAGAATACCAACAATGTCTGCTTATGAAGTAGTTTCCCTTAATTCCCACACACCATCTTCAAGGCAGCACCGACATTAGGCAGAGATAAAATAGCAGTCAGATATTTAGGACAACAAAATGCAAGATAAGCAACAGGTTTGTGCAAACCCTTCAACTCATTGTTAAGCACCACAGCTTCACTAAGCAGCATTTTTTTCCAAATATGAAGTCAGATTACACCTAGAGAAGCCCTTCAAATTTACAAAATCCAAGCAAGCAAAGACCCGTGACACTTGTGCTGAGGCACACATACACTTGGAAACCTCTGAAATAAATGATTGTCCCAAGGCTGTTCAGAAAAATGAGGGGAGGGGGGGAGTGCATGGTCAGACAGCCCCTAGGGTCTGTCTCTTGCTCCTGCCCCACATTTTAAGCCCCTTGCACACCTGTAGTAGCACCCATTGCCCCTCGCCTGACACACTTGTAAGTTCTCCTACCTTACCCATCCATGGCTTTGTAGCACTTCCAGTTCAGGAACTCCCAAGTTAACACCAGATTTCTCCCCTGTGAGCTGTGACACTGACCCAGGCTGCTGAGGAGTTCCCTCTAAGCTGCCTCAGTTTTCTCTCTGCCCCCATTGGCATACCCACCTAGGTGTACTTGTTTGATATATTCGATCAGAGCAACTTTGTTGTCTCTCCAGAACTTTTCCAGCTGGTCTGCTGGAGGATATTTACAGCATGACAGCTCCAATGTAATTTCAAAACACTGTCCCCAGACATAGTTGTAATCTTGCATTCCACCTTAAAAGTGAAATAAAAGGGTTTTCAGCTGCAAAGAAACACTAAGGTCAAATTGAAAGACAAACAGGAGAATTAAAACGTTAGTACTTGCATCATACCTGTAAGAAAAGTAAATCAGATAAGTTATTCCACAATGCCACACTTGTATTTATTGCCTCCTGTGAAAAATCTTTATTATTTACTCATAGAGTGTTGTTTTCTAAAGCATACTTCATTTTGGAAATGATGATGATTGTGGCTGAGAAAGAGTGGGCCTTAGACTTAAATTCATTCAAGCTTTCCCAACTAAAAAGGGACAGATAGGCTGGCATAGGATTTGTTACTGCCAAAGCCATTCCAAGACCCTTTTAAGTATTTGAATTCAGACAATGAGAACATACACAGTGCACAAGCCCCATATTCTATTTGGCTACACATAAAGAATTTATTTCTTTCACATTTATTTCAGTAATTAAACATTTAAAAATTGAAGACATATGAATAGAAGAATTCCTTCTTTCTGAAAGGAGAAGATCTTGATGCCAAGCAATGTGTGCACACGTGTGTTATGTGTATTACAGCTACTGCAGGCCTTAAGCACAGAATCAGGCAAACAGCAGTGACTGCCTCATTTACTTGTGTAATTGCTGGCTGGAACAGTCTGAAAACACCCAGGTCCTGCTCACAGAACCTGTGTGAATGAGTTGACTTGCTCCCCTCATCAGCCCTCTACTCTGACTAAAATCACTGCCCTTTCATCATCAGAGATGGCAGGAGAAAGTGAGATCATCTTACCAGCTGAATGAAATGTCAATGACATTCTTACCTTCCAGCTGGTACCAGGAGTACCCGTTGGTAATGCCTTCTGGGAAGGTTTGCCTGTTGTCACACCCCGTCCCTTTGTACATGCTGGCGTGGTTGGAAGAATAGGTTTTTGCCAGGTGAATAAAGACATCATCATCTGGAGATCTGCTATAGCCATTCAAAGAGCCAGTAACTGCAGAGTGAAGACAGCCATCGTGCAACTCTCATTACTGGTAAAACACACAGTGGTGGCTTACATGCAGGATAAACATCTCCCAAAAGGATATATTAGGCAGTGAATTTTGATGAGGTTTATCAAATTCTGCCCATCCCAGCTCAAAAGGTAGAAGAACTTTGTATGAATCCTTATAAATTGTGCTTTGGCGCAGCCAAGATTCCTAAACCCAGTCAGCTGAGGAGAACAGAGTTTGTCACCAGCTTACCTGGGTTACCATTATCAAAGGTGTAACTGGCAACCAGGGCACCCCCGTGCAAGTTTGCTGAAAGAACAAATGTTTCATTTTTTATCCAGTCCATTACTGCTCGAGTTTCTGGCTGAATGCTGGCACTGTTATTTTCAAAGGCATCAGGAAAATTTCTGTTCAGATCTTCTCCATTCCTGTTGTACCTTTGAAAGAGAGAAGACATTCCCGTTACTGTTTTGCCTGTGGATACTTCCACATCACCGGCCTCCCAGTACTCCAGATCTGTGGTGTGCTACTATCTTCAGGGAACAGGCAAGATGACCATTTTTTATTTCTCAAGCATTACAGTGATGGACTTCAATTTGCTTTCTGGCAGCTCTGGAGTTTTCATAGGCCACAACAAAACAATTCAAGTGGAAACAGAGAATATTTAACATGCACAGAGAATGCACATCTACTCATAAGTGAATTAGAAAAACCAGAGCCAGGTCAGAAGAACTTTGTCCTCCTCCTGTATGTGTTTTTTCCTGCTTGTAAAGAAGGCCAAGGTAACTATTGAATAGTTGTATTCCTTGGGCTGCCGTCAATCTCAACAGACAGGAAAAAATCTGAGTCAAACACGGGATGCATTTTCTTCTCCCTGAACCTTAATGCCCAGCTCTGTTCAAATGCTCTCTTGCTTTTTCACTCAGATAGGTCAGTACAGGAATAAAGAGGGTATTCACCATTGATTGTGTTAATTCTTTACCTCAATCTATTAAACTCTATTTAATAGTGAGGGGATAAAAAACATCCCACTCCATACAAGTCCCATCTATTTGCTGAGGAATACATTTTTTCCTAATAAAAAAGATGGCCTACTCTGGTCACCTAAAGAACTGAACTACCTAAACTTTTCTTTTCTCTTGTTTCTGAGGTTGCCAAGGCCAGTGATCCAAGAGAACCTCTAGCTCATGGGTTTGCTTTTTCTGCACATTCCAAATTTGTCCTCTGGGTGTTTCTTCCCATTCTCTCACTGTCTCTTTCCCTCTTCTAGCTTGTTAAGCTTTTCATCCCCTTTTTGGTCTCTGCAATAGCCACATTAAAAAATGCAAAAGTAGCACAGGATGCAATGTCAAGTTATATTTTCTTCTATGTAGGTTTTTTTTTCTCACCATTACTATTAGCACAGAATCTATTATACCAGCTCTGCTCGTGTAACTCCTTACTAAATCCACATTCAACATGATTTTTAAACACATTGCTGAAGTCCATTCAACAAGCTTAGACACACCTTTTCTCATTAAGAAGGGCTACAGAATTCTCCAGTTGAAATAGATCCTTGTGGGTGGAATTTTCCTTTTCTTGTAGCACTCCAAAGGTGCTACAAAATAGGGAATTGTGCTTGTATTCGCAATCTGGGTCTCCTGCCTAGAAGGTGAGGTCATTATACCATTCTGACCAATTTTTTCTGGCCACACCACATATAAATACCCTTCTGACTCAGTCTTCCAGAAACTCTATGCCACAACAACATGTCTTCAGAAGAGCACAGCCAAAATTAGCCCAAGCACATCCTGTAGACTCTGCTCTCCACCAAGCATGAATCAGTCTTCTGGCTATCTGTGATTATTACTCCCCACCCATTTATTTTACCTCTCCCACCCTCCTAAGCCACCCTTACCTTCCTCGTGTGTAATAACAATCAGGCACTTTTGTAGCTTCAAATCCATCCGGATTCATTGTTGGCATGATATGAATCCGGGTATTATTGAGTAACCGGGTAATAACTGGGTCACGTCCATAGCTGCTCACCAGGAAATCTATCAAATGGAGCAGGATTTCTCTCCCAACAGTCTGTGTAAAGAAGCACAGATTTTACTTTAAGTTTGATAATGGAAGAAGAAGAAAATAAATAAATAAATAAAGATCCACCACCTTGAACTTAGAGGTTTTTCTTGGACTACACAGACATACCAGGCATATGAGAGCACTCTGATCAACAATGCTTTGTTTTATGCCCTCCCTTAAATATATTTAAAGTAACTGAATAGATAAAAGGAATCACTGGAGGGTTTTCACAAGGGTTTTAAACCCAGATCAACCAGACCTTTTTGTATAATGGGAAACTGACTGTGTCAGATGCACTGCTTAAATCTCACATGGATAAAGAACAGCTATAACAAAAACCAAAACTGCCTGATAAACATCGTGTGGGCTTGGGAACGCCTCAAAAACTGTGTTTTCTCAGCCCCACTGCAGGGTCCCAGCTCTGTGCTGGTGCCAGAATGACCCTGCACACGAGCACCAGCGCTGTGTGGCACTGCTTGGCACTGGTGCTTCAGAGGGAAGGGAGGACAAGTCTGCCACAAGTTTTCCAGGATTCCACAGAGCAGGATTTTTTTCTTGTTGATCCCCTTTCATGGGAAGTCAATATTAATACAAGATCAAAGAGGCCACGTAGATACTTCTGTTACATTGCTTTCTTTTAACATTATGAACGTGTGCATTGGGGAAACCAAATAAATCCTTAGAAAAAGACATGGAAAGACATTTGGATACAGACTTTAGATCAAGGAAAGGCAGGGGCAGAGAAAAAGTTAAACACGTATTTTTGTTCATGTAAGTTTGTATAAGTCATGAAAACTGACATCTCCCTTTAGTCTTTCAGATTTTAGGCAAAATAGTGTCAAGTACCAGATTCAGAGTTCAGGACCATCCTATTCTACCCCAGAAACCACTGCTAGTGTTCACTGGACCATACTTTCCAGGGGCACTTTCCACAGCACCATGCCTCAAGGATGCTTTAGGGTTCCTAAATCCTGTTTGGAAAGGGAACAAACCAAGACTTGCAGGTAGATGAGTTCTAGAAATAACTTATCTCTATCTCCAAGAACAAAGCCTGGTATATCACAACAGGATCTAAACCAGCACCTGAGTATGTAAAAACAGACTGCTCTGCAGGTCTGATAAACATACTCTGTGAAATTTAAGAAGGGATGCAACAGAACCTGTCTTGTACAGGGAGCTCCTGAAAAGAGTGATAGACATCTTGGGAAGCATATAAGGGTGGGGGAAGAAAGGAGAGGAGAGAAATCAGCCAAATCATGGCCCTGGGCATGATAGGTGAAGTTACCAGACTCAGAATCAGCAAGAATGGCTCTACCACAGAGACAGCTAAACTACAGACAAGGCTGGACTGCTGCTGGAGAAACTGGGAAAGTGCTCATCTCCTACTGTACTTCTCTTCAGTGCCTGAGCAAAAGAAATCACAAAAAGAAAGGGTAGAGAAGCAGGAACAGAAAGGGAGGAAAAGAAAAGGAACAGAAGAATGTGGCAGAAAAGAACAATGTTTACAAAGAATGAAAGATGACCAGATTTTCACAGATGACCTTCTTTGTATTTAAAAGCTAATCCCAGGCTTACTTACATGTATGGTATTTTACAAACTACTTTATAGGTTTCCTGGTTGTTGTACTCAGGGCATTAGGTGATTCAGATTATCATAAAAGTGTTGGCATTTGGGTGATTACACAGTGAGGAAAGAATATACTTATTACCACTGTTTTGGTGTGGCAACAGAGGGGTGGTTTTGTTTTGGTCCAGAGCAGCCTGCATTGCTTGGGAAAGCACATCTGGAAGTATCTGAGGGAAAGTTTTGTTTCTGGGAAAGCTCAAGTTCAAGGTCAAGTTTTGATCGAGGCCTTGGAAAGCATCTGCTGCTCAGTCAAGCTTTACCCTGTTACTACAGAGGTCAGGTGTGCCTGTGGATAAGAGTTATGAGTCAGTTTTATTTTAGAGCTTCAAATAAAGGATCTAGACACACTGAAGGTAGATTACTGACAGTAAAGTCTAGGACAGACACCTTTACCTGCCTCAGTTTTAATATGAAGATAGTGAGAAGAGCAGGGGACAGCATGAATGTGTTCTGGGGCTTTGAGAGGACACGAACATTTGTTTTTGATTGCAGTATCCCAAAGGAGATGCTGAGGTGGATTGTACTACTGCATTTCACAGGAAGGATGACAGAAAAGCAAAGGAAATCCCTTTCTCCCACCTCTAGGGATACAACTAGACATTAAGTTTCTCTGTGCACTTTCAGATGTCAGCTTCCTCCTGTGCCTCAAAGGGAGAAAGTCAGCAGGAAAGGCATTCAGCAATCCTCAGGGGAAGCCTTGAATGGAGAAGCGTGCATGTGTCAGGACATGGATCAGCGCTGTAGAAAAGGGTGCGACTGCTGCTTCTGTACACAAATCCTCTAAAGTTCCTGACTCTGCCTGCTGGCAGGGCTGTGTCAGCACCCTGCTCAGCTACCACAGGGATTACTCAAGAAGCTCGAGCAGCAGCCAGTTAGGAGATTAAGGTTAGCTCCAAATGCACCTGTACTGTACCACTTCACTGCATCACTGGGTTTAGAACAGTGTTGTTACCACATGAGAGAGACCTAACACCAGGGGACTAGGGGTGGACAGACTCTGCCCATTTTTGTTATTAAAATTCTGTCCTTAAACGTGGCCTGTTTTTTAAGTTGAACAATGCTGAAAGAAAGATGCAAACCGTCAGGTAGGACCTGTTTCAGGGCACCACAGTCCTGCCTGCCTCCTTGCTCCAGCCCCAGCTGCTCCACAGGCCAGGTTCAGCATTCCAGCCACAACCCCACCTAAGGAAGCGGAGTATGAGCAGAGAAACCAGTAGGCCATCCTGGTTTCCCACTGAAACGCCACACTTGCAAGATGTTATTTTTAACACTTGTACAGCACTAATTGTTATGCACCGCTAGGACACACCCCAGTAGGTTAACACAGGGTTAAAGTGGCTGCTTGTGCGAGTAGTTTGGCACACATCCCTTTATTTCTACAGCAGCAATCCCTATGGACATCTGAGAAATACCATGGCTATGACAGGGAAGTGCAGTTCTCTGGTTTATTACTGGAGGAAAACGGCAACACAAAGCCTGCTTTTGATCTAGTAACTGGCATAAGTTGTTACCACCAGGACAAAACTCCACCAGCTTCTGGATTTACCTGGCTGAGACATGGATATCTTTTTCTTTTCCCACTCAGAAGAGTGTGAAGAAAGATAAGGAAAAAAGTAACTGCAGCAAGGCAGTGTTAAAATGTGCTGAAACAGACCTCAGCAACATCCAGCTTTTTTCTAAAAAAAAATCACTGAGATTTGATTGTTTCGAATTTTGAAAGTTATGGTGCTTCTGACGTTTTTCACAGTACATCAGCTAATACTGAAACTAGGTGGGAAATAGTTCACTATGCAATAAATAGGTTTTTTTTTTTCCTAGAGAAAATACTGTTTCCCTGCATATCACTTCAATGAGTGAAGTCAGTATGGGCTTACAATTCTCTATAGCAGGTTGTGCAGTATATGCAGTATTCTTTTTGTGCAATTGGATGATAAAAAAAACCCTAGCCTTTTTTCCACTGTGGTACTTTGATAGTGCAATGAAGCTTCCATTAATTTTTTTAGAAATAAGAGTAAGAAATTCTACACAAGACTCTTTAGTTTATTGTTTGGTGGTTTTTTAGGACTCCATTATATTGACCACAAATGAATCAATCTACTCCAGTCTTTATTCACCTAAGCCCTGATATTTCAGGAAACCCTACTGTGGATATGACTATGTCTATGATGACATGGAAAATAGGGTAGAGTTGCTTTAACTTATTTCACAAGATAAGGCAGCAGATAAACACATCTTTTCACAGAGGCTAGTTCAGACCTATCAGTACAGGCTCAGTTTCACGTAATGAAAGAGGAAAAATACTACTATTTAAAATAATATTTTATACTACTATATTGTTATATTATGTATATTAGTGTTTTGTATATATTATTATAAATTATTCTTTATTATGAATAAGCTATTGTATTATTTAATATTATTTGCATTGTTGTTATTTTATATACTCAGAAAAGAAAGAGATCAGAAGTGGGCACTTTAGGAAAATAGGACTGATATCAGCACTGCCATTCTGAGAGTTTAATCTTGTGATGGTCCAGTTACACTACAGTTGCAGAAAGTTAAAGCCATATATTCAGTACATTAAAGGGGGGAAGCAGAAACATACAGGAAGTTTGCAGTTTATTCAGATGTGCTTTTCCCTAAGTTACTGGCACAGAGGGTCCAAAGGTGATAGTTCTGCACCATTTATGACTTAGGAGTATTTAGGGGTTTGGTTGTGGTCAATGTTAAGCAGGAGGAGTTCTTCCCCAGGGAGAAATGCATGACTTAGAAAGAGAAGATATTTCAAGTAAGAGAGGCTGCTGTCTAATTCAGAATGGGAATTGCCCCAGAAGATCAGGCAACCTCTCTTTCACCTTGCCCCTGAAGACTTTACTAACATTTCACAGGATTATGCATTTTGTGCAGTCAATTACCACCATCTTGATTAAAGTTAGCTTAAATCAGTTTTAATTTGGCTCAGGTTATATAAAAAGTACTGCTAAAAATGGTGTCCAGCTTCATACAGGCAACATAAAGAATGGGAGAAGTCTTTTGTTGCCTCTCAGTGGATCTGGGGCAAAAGTTCGCTCTATCTGGCTACAGTGAACACAAATGAAAATCTTTTAAATCTTGGCTGGTTATGTCTTAGAGTACCAAGAAAATGAACTTACTAAAAAAAATAATACTCCTTTCCTGGTATTGTGTACTCACATTACTTTATTAGAACTTCCCTATTGGGCAGCTCTCCAAATAACCTAGATTTTCTTCCAGCAGCATGTGTGAACAGCCCACACACATGTAATTCAGGTTCCACCCCAACTTTTATGATTTTGGAGCAGTAGGCCAGCTGAGTCAAAGTTAAGTGTCATATGTGTGATCATAACAGGTTAGAAGGGCAGCATCACCAAACAACACCTGAGAACAGAACGTCTCACTTGGTATCTTTTGTGGAATACGTCACTGAAGCACAAAAGACCCAATCAATGAACCCATAATCCTGTAATTCCAATTTATGAAAGACTCTGGCATACAAATTGAAGTTTGTTGGATAATTAGTGCAAAATTTATCCGCTTAATATATTGTAGTGGTAATTGAATCTATCCCCAGTGACTGGTCCAGCAGAATCTTAGATTCCAGGAAAAAATTATTCAAGTTTACCAATGCTTCTCTATATGAGAAATTAATTTCCTGCCATCTGAAATACATTTATGATCAGATAAAAAAAAACCCAAACACAAACTGTGTGTTACCTGTATGCTCCAAAATAACCCATATCACAAAAATCATCATGAGGGCCTGAAAGGAGGAATATTTCCCTAGGTGTGAGCTTGGTCTGACAAACAACTGGAATGTAGGACCTCTTAGCTAGGCAGCTCAAGGACCAACCCTGCTCAGACTGTCTGGCACAGTGTCTGACTTTAGGAGAAAATCTTGCCTCATTTCCTCATGTTGTCAATAAAAACTTAGATCCTAGGCAGTGATCCGAGTTGCCAATCCCCAGCAACTCCCAGCCCTGTGGATGTGCAAACAGTGTGTGTTTCTATGGTCAAAGCTTGTTATGCACATCCAGCTGGGCAGTGATAATGACAGGGGTGTTTCCTTGTGGAGACTTCAGTATGTGTGGCCTTTTGCAGTCCAGCAATATTGGATTTGCAAGCCAGCTCATTCTGGATGAGATCATATCCTGCCCTCCACCTCCTCCCCATCAAAGCTGGGTGATTTCCAGTCACAGGTTTGCAATCCCCCCTGGCAGTCTGCAGGGACTGCAGTACGGAGCCTCAGTTCCTATAGATGCCTTGGTGGCACACAGTGGGTTCCAGGAGCTGCAAGCCCTGTCGTGGGCACCCAGTAACAAATGTACCCATCTGACACCATGAATCAGCTTCCTCCCACACAGAGTTAAACTCCCAGCAATACTTTGAGCAAGGCCAGTGTCGAACAAGGTGAAACTAGTCTAACTTGGGGAACATTCTTGGCACATCATGTCACGAGTGCCTGTAGGCGTGCAAGTGCTCACACACAGTATTGTTAACAGCAACAACTCGTGACACATTACCCTTTGCACAGGATACACTTTCTTCTATAGCCATTTTTCTTAGATTTGGGAATTCACAGTCTAGCACATACATACACATATATATCTTGCTCCTCCTGTTATATTATTTAACCTGCACATGAAAGAATGCATAAAAACATACAGCACAGTTTAAACCTCTCCTGAAGATAACCAATATAATCAGCTAAAGCTAAAGAATAGAAGAAATACAAAGCAAAAAAGTATTGTACAGTGAAGCTTTGATTCTTTCTGATTCAGATTCAAGTACTGCACTAGGTAAGCTCATAATCACCATTTCTCCTTGATCATTAATAAGTGGGCATTCTTCCCAGAGCAAGTTTATTATTCTGGCATTACTTTTCCTTTTGTACTCTGTGTTATCTCAGGTGAATCTAGCTGTTCCTAGCTTAAGGTTCCCAAGCTAAATTTTCTTCCTACAATAAATAATTCGATGCTTCACAGCAATTATTATTTAATCTTAGTATGTATTTGAAGAGTTCTATCAGTCATATTTCATGCCTAGGCAGTAACAATGTGCAAGCAAACTACTGCATCTGACTCATTGCCAGGCAACTTAAAGCCTCTGGGTTTACTCACCTGGAGAAGACAAAGCTCTCTACTTAAGAGAGGTCTTGAGTGTAGGATTGTAGGACTCTTCAGCATGATGTAAGGTCTCTTAAGGCCCTTCCACCAAAACAAGGGAACTTTATTCTGAAAATTCCTCAATAAATACACACATATTTTGTCTTCCTTGAGTTATGTCATACCTCAGTAATAAGAAGCACATGCCTGAGCGGAGCTCACTCTAAACCTCTGGTAAGTGTATTTGGTATAAATGACATTGCAAAAATTGAAACGTACCTCATCCCCATGCATATTAGCAACATACTTGAACTCTGGAATGCCAATCTTATGATGGGTTGGAAACCTTCCCAGAACAAGAACCCAGAGGTCTCTACCTTTAAGAGGGGAAGGGGAAAAGACATTTTTTAAAACGAGTGTAAAATCATACAAGCCTTAGAAGAATAAAAAGAGTTGGTCACTAAGACCATTGTAAAACTTCTCATATTTCATTGGTGCCCACTCAGTCCCATATACAACATATCAAAGTAGACTGTGGGGATCTTTTATTCTATCAATATTTGCAATATTAGTTATAGGAATAAATATGCCTTGCCTTCTGCCCAAGTCTGTAATAAACCCTGCAATTTCTAAAGCATTTAACCAGGACTAGAAAAGAAGGCTCTTTTTTTGGCAATAAACACTTTGCAAATTAAATTTAGCAAATAAGACCACTCGTTCCCCCTCCCTCCCCCTCCATTTTTAAATCATAAGGATTTTCTAAAATATATACAGAAGTTTTCATTATCACAAAGTAAGAACATCTGGTTTTGTACTAAAGACAACACAAAAAAGTTAAATGCGTGCATTATTGCTCAGAAAACAGGAGGTACGAGAAAGAGCTGTATCATAGACATATCTCAAATATATTAGCAGGGGAAGAAGTAAAAGCTGCAGAAAGATTATTAGTTAGGACCATTAAAGCTGCACAAGAAGATGAACTTTAAGTAGCAAAATAAACACACACACATTTTGGAAGTCCACAAGCAGGGGGGAGAGGGAGAGGAGAGGGCAGTTTTTGTTACTATTTTTAGTGATACTGTGGCATTTCAGACCTCATCTGCAAATCTGTGCTTCCCACTAGTCTGCTCAGTGAGGTGGAAAACTCAAGTTTCAGTAGGTGGCAGCAATGGAACTGGACCAGTTCCTTGACAGTAGCAGTGCCAGGCTATGGATTGCTAATGCCCAGACCCTGCAAGCATGCTAGCTGTCCCCAGCTCCACAGAGGGCTTGCTGGGACCCACAGCCCATCTGGGAGGAGCCCAGCCATCACCGCTACTTGCGGGAAAGAAGAACGCAGGAGCTGCTATACGCTGTACTATAAAAAGCCTTATTTCCTAAATCTTTGTGGCTCATCAAATCTGAAGTAAACAAACTCTGGAGCATATCAGCTTCCCATTCCTGAAGGCATGACCCCTGTAGTCATGCACATGCCACAGCATTTTTGTTTTCTTTTCTAGCTATGCAGCTGACTCACAGCAGCTGTACCACAAGGGTCATGGCTTCGGGAACGGGAGAAAAACTTGAAGGGGACTGAAGCAACACTGCAAGATGCACTGAAACAGTTGTAAGAGAGGTAAAACTGAAGACAGTGGTTGCCAAACTATCAGTTAATAGAATCAGAGTCTTAGGCTTAGGATCAAGAAGCAGCAAGACAGTGCTGAGAGCTGACAGATTCAACAGAGTGATCTCAGCATCCCCTGGTTTTACAGCTGCTCTTGAAGACACTGGTGTTCAACCCATGTAACCATGCTGTCAGATGATGCTACTGATTCTTTCATTAAAGGACAACATGAGCAAGCAGTCCATACCTTAAAAATAATTTTGTGCAACTGATTTGGTAAGAGCTAGTTATTTGGCCTTGTTGTATGTAGAACTACTGTTTCATTAAAAAAAAGAAAAAATTCGATTTCTGTAAGCTTAGACAAGCTGCAAAGTGGAGAACCCAAAGATACTAACTTTAAATCACATTCTTCTTAAAAAAAGGAAAGAAAGAGAACACAAATCATCTCACCCTAGCTCTTCTCCTCTCCAAAACCTCCACAGGTTTCCTCTAATCTCAACCATCCTGCAGCTCTGTGAAAACAGATGACAAGTCTTGCTGCAGTAGAATATGTTTGGAACTGAAAACAATCCTAGTAGTGAAAAAACTGTTATTCATAATCAAGTGTGGACAACCACCTCAACTTGCTTTCCAACTCTGCAATGTGTCATTCTCTCTATAGTTGTATCCTGGGGCAACTTGCAATGAATTACCAAGGAAGTCCTTCCAGAATGCTCTTATGATTCTTTGTCCTTATGCCCTCTAAGCCCTGCTTCCCAGCTCTCATTCCCTCTACTGGAAGGCAAATTCAGACATCCCTCCTTGGTGTCAGTTGCCATCTGGACTCCTGCACCAAGAGGAACACACCTGCTTACAGCAGTGACTACAGCCTTTCCACCACAGCCCAAACCTAAAGGAGGCTGCTACAGCCCTACAACATGCAGCTCATGATATATACTCAAGCAGAGTCCAAGTAGAGCTAAAGTGCACTAGATGTTTCCATCATTTAATATTTTCTACAAATAATAGCATATTCTGCTTTCAGATACAAAAATAATACTTCCACTGTCTTGCCATCAGCAGTACTCATTCCTGCTGCTCTCACTGTGAATTGCACTCATGGGAAACACAAGGAAGAGCTAAGTATAGACTAATATTAAGTCCTGATGTAAATTGGTCTTTCCTGTATTAGTGTTCAGACTGTTCAGAGTTTGTGTGAGGGCCATCTACACTATAAACACTCCCATGAACTGGGATACCAATTATTTCCTGGCATTTCCAGCTTGTAAGAAGTACTAAACCTTCCATTAACAATTAAAATACATTCCTGGGTCTGTTCAGCCTGCAGTACTGGATAGTGTATCTATGAGGGATGATGTAAGATTTCTTTCCATACGGCTGTAATTAACTGCATATAAAAAGATTCAGCATATGGATGGTTTCCTTTAATCAGTAAAGCCTGGATAACTATGGTTTGGTACCTGAAGGGAACAGCTAAGCTTCCTCTTCATGCTTTGAAAAGCCACTTCTCACTGCCAAACTGCCAAACCAAAACTGACGTCAACTAATTAGTGAACCATATTTCAAGTGATGAAGACAAACGTGTGTTTCTAGCTGTGTGTCTCAGGACAAGTAACAAGACTTGTTTTGGAGCAGAGCCAGACCACACAGCTTCTAGCAGAATGAGAAGCCTTTTTAACTTTTTACAAAGTTTTCTAGCATTGCCACTAGTTCTCAACGTAGCGTCAAGTATTCTAAACAGATGTACAAAAACTGGTAATTAAAAGGAAGAATTGAAGCTGATCTCCAGATCCAGTGGGAAAGAAACAAAATCAAATTGTAGATGATTGGAGACTGGATTGTGCTCCCTGGTTTTGTTCTGAATTTTATTTCTGTTTTTCTTCACTTTGTTCTTTACAGCTTCATTTATGACAAACATGTCATTTCAAAGGCAGTTATGGCTAGGAAATGAAGTGAAATGACTGGGGAATGGCTCAGACCCACTGTCAGTACCAGTCAGGCTAGGGTACTGATTCAAGAGTTTGAAGGGAGGACCACTTTGTCCAAGAAAAAGCAATTGACTACAGTCCTCCTGGGTTGGCCATGAGTTGCACACTGGCTTCATGGGTAGGAACTGCAGTAATGTTCATCTGTGTTGAGGCAGTTCCTACCTATAAAGATGCAGGACAGAGAAGAGGGAAAGAGAGATTAACTCTCATTAGAATGCAAGGTCCCAGAGCAATTGAATCATAGAACCAATCTCAGGATTATTGAGCAGCCCAGGTTAGAAGGAACCTCAAGACATCATCTGGTCCAACCCTACATGGGAAAGGAAACCTAGATAAGATTATTTAGCACTTTGTTCATTTGCATCTTTAAAACCACCAGTGAGGAAGACTACCTCATTTCCAGTGAAGTTGTTCCAGTGAATGATTCTCAGTGTAAAAAAACTTTCTTATATTGAGATGAAACCTCTCATAGTGCAACTTGTTCCCATTGCCCCTTGCTTTTTTTCCGTGTGGCTCCTTGCAAAGAGAGAGGATCCACTCAAAAATGCATTACAACACACTCTCTTTGTAACCACTCTTCAAGCACCAGAATTCTGTCATAAGATTCCCCCCTAAGCATTCTCTTCTCCAGGCAGATGAGCCTCCTCGGGGCAACATTGTCTTCCAGTAAAACACTACCACAGCTAATGAAGGACTTCAAGTGTAATTCCTTTTGCTAAACCATCACCAGCAGCACCCTTGCCCTGAGGTGATCTGATTTGTCATCACCAAGTCAATTTGGAAAATCTAAGGCCACTTTGGAACCTTTCTTCTGCAAGGGGACAGCCTAACAACACATGTGGCTTGATTCAGATTCTAACAGAACTTGAAGTACCAGTAGATTATTTGGATAACCAGAAATGGTTAATTGGAATGACTGATGTAGCAGTATTGCAGAAATAGCTTGCAAACATGAACAAACATGTGATTTTAATCTAGCCAGACTGAGCAAAACACCCCCAAAATAAGCTACATATCTGAAGCTGAGATCAGACAAACACCTGTAAGAACAACTGGTACATCAAATTATTTTGTGAGCATTTGTCCTTACTTTCAGGTGTACCATGGTCCACTGAGAACAGATTATGTAAAGACTTGGCCTGCAGTAGCAGTGGTACTAGTAATGAACAAAGTTTATATGCCCAGAAGAGCTAGGAAACTTTAAATATAAGAAAGTCTTTAAGGTATTTTAAAGAATGAAGAGATACAGATCAATCACATACATCAACCAAGCATATCTGGCAATATTCAGCATGGTGCTTAGGTAAGCAGGGAAAAAAAGCCAGAAGAACCCAAGGTAACATTCAGCTACAGGTCAATCACAGCCACTGTGTCACTATGTGGGGGCCACTGCTAAACTTAGTACTTCTGGCCTCTTCCCACAAATCCCTTATTACGGACATAAGGCACTCTCTCTTGGCAAAAAGTAAATACAAGTATCATTTTCCCACTATTTAATCAGTTCCTATCTACTCCAAGAGATTACCCCAGTCACTCTAAATTAGAGTCAGCACCATATAAGCAGAATAAACTGTCAGAATAAACAACGACTCCAAAAACCACTAGATACTGTTTATTTGTATCCAAAGCACTTGAGAAAGGAAGGGAGTCAAAACAATTCATGGTTCACATGCTTGCTTATCTTCCTAAAGGCTTACAAATCTTTGGTTGATTGGGACATCCATAGCTGCTTTGGACACTTTCACAAGACTTGTATCTTATGAGAACAGCAAGCCTTTCTTTCCTA